TGATATGAAACTTTATTATGGTAAACATACGTTTTGGAAATGTAATTTAAGACAGTGTGATCAGCAAGTGGGACTTGGAAAAGACAATTGGTTTGAAGGAAGCAGAATTCCATTTTGTTCAGCTTTGAGATTCATATACTGCTGGTGCAAGGAGTTGACGTCGATTAAATTCTGAAAAGCAACTTGATTTATCGGATAATACTGTAATAGACTGGAACAATTACATGCGGGTGTATGTGTCATAGACATGGAGAATAAACAAAACAAGAAGATCAGAGGCGTAGCTAAGGTTTCAGCGCCCGGGGACAACTGGAGATTTTGCGCCAGTTTCTGTTTGCCACGAACGGAAAATACTTTATTCTAAAATTTCGTACCATCAATTTGGCGCCCCCTGGATGCTGCGCCCGGGAACAGATGTCCCCCCTTGCTCCACCCTAGCTACGCCACTGAAAAAGGTAGGTGGACTAGATTGCATTGTGGAAATTGATGAAAGTTTATTTACTAAGCGTAAAAATAATTGTGGTCGAGTATTACCCGAACAGTGGATGTTTAGTGGTATATGTAGAGAAACAAAAGATTCGTTTGTTGTCACTGTTCCTAATAGAACTGGCTCTATCCTTCTTAAAAAATTATTGAAAACATTGCAAATAGTAGCACAATTTATTCTGACAGTTGGAAAGGTTACCAAACAAATAGCATAGAAACAGAATGATTTCTACATGCTAAAGTTAATCATAAATACAATTTTATTGATCCTGATACAGGCGTTCATACACAAACAGTTGAGAGAATGTGAGGCGGTGCTAAATGTAGGAACAAGGTACATAGGGGGACAGAGAGGCATCATTTAGAATCTTATTTAGCAGAGTTTATAAAGTGTTTTGATGTTAAATAAAGTGTTTTAATTTATGATTTGTCGCAAAAATTTTAGGTGTAGATTGGAGGCACTTAAAAACCGCCAAACCTGCAGCTGCGGTGGCGTTAATACGTAAGTACCAACTGCACTCCTTACCGTGAATCTTTTCAAGGTTTGTAACAGTCATTGTCGCAAGTAAAAATCACCGGCTTTCTAAGAAGGTAATTATATCGTACTTTTTAAGCAGCAATAAAAATCCTTTCAATAAACAATTTTTTTCGTTTTTTCCTTTTAATTACGACAATATTTAGCTTTTTTTAAGTCATACATACTTTTATAACGATTTCTAGAATTCTCAAAGGATCGAGGATGAGCGAGAAACTTCTCGAATATTCAGTTCAAAGGAATGATGAAGCATCATCGTCTAGAAGAAATGCAAAATTCAACAAGCTTTCCATAATATAATTTTTTACTTGTTTCTACTTTTCATTTCTTGTTTTTTAATTCAGATTTTATTTCTCTTGTTTTTTTAGAGTGCTGGGAATTTCCGTGGGAAATGCACACGGAGCAAGATTAGAAACCGCTGCAGCAGAAAATATTAGCTCACTGCAAAAGAATCTGAAATAGTTTTCCATAGTAATGTCATGCTAGGGAAGACTTTTTGATACTGTCTCTGATCCTGATGTGGAATGAATCTCGTCCAAACTCTGAAAAACCAATAGTTGACAAACATTCATAAAACGTCAGATTTCGTGACAAAATGAAATTGCCAAGCATCTTTATGTGCTTGACTTTTTTAAAAAAAGAAATTTACTAAATCAAATGTTTGAATAAAAAAGAATTTAATCAGTTAATCTTTCATTAATTTTGATGATTTTATTCTCTAATAAGTTATAATTTTCTTTGTGTAAATTTCTGCTAATTGATGCATAAATTGCAATTATTAGTCCAAAGGGGCTTTGTCCCTGAAGGATTATTGTTTTTCGTTTTGCGATTTTGCGTTAAATCACTATAAATGTCCGTTTCACTTTTCAAACTGTTGCCACCAAATGTTAGAGTCCTGCAAGAATCTGCACAATAGTATGTCTGTTTCTCGCATTGTGATAAAACAACGGTCCTGGAGCCATCGAATTCTGAATGACGTAATCCTACTGCGAATATGGGCATGCGGAAGAACAAATTTGAAATTTGGAATTTGCTTTATTATCAATTTCATATTTTGTAAAACTTTAACGAATTTTTAAGTAACAAACGCAATGATTTAAAAGCCAGCAACGGCAACACTCTACGGCGGGGGAGGGGGAAAATCTTTGTATCTCCAGTGGGCGCAGAACTGTGTATCGGAAATTCTAAAGGTAAGCTCATTTTAAAATTATTTTGCGCCATTGCTATTGAACTGAAATTCATGGTTTAAATGCTAAGAGCATGATATTTGATAAATAAAAGGAACACACAAAACGTTAAAAAAACGCCTCTTTGGACGTAATTGAAAATATGAAACCTTTCAGATTTTTTATTTATTTTTATTATTTTTATTATTATTATTATTTGAGCCCCACCAATGGGCGAAGAGTTAAAACTGCTGATATTTTTAATGAAGATACTTTGAGTTTTTATATGGTATGCCTTGCCGCGAAGTGAGAACTGAATTAATTGAGTGAGATATCTATCTCCAATGAAATTCGAGGAAATAAGTTTAAATGAGATGTATGGAAAATGCGTATAATTTAATATTCCGTACAAGGAAGTCATGTTATATACACATAAGATTTTTTTACATATTTTTTAACTTCCACGAACGAAGTAAAGGAAGTACTGTAATAGAGAACTATTCCGACTGTCATATTTAAACGAAAATATCCATGATGACCACTGTCGATTCCATTCGAACGATTTTTTGCGTGATATCTGTACGTACTGACAGAATAAAGGGCTTTTTATATTTCCTTGTAAGAAATAAAGGAAGCATTGTTATCGCGAAAAATTTGAAGTACCATTTTTCAAGGAAAATATCCATTTTGACAGCAGTCGCATCCATTTAGACAATTTTTTACTACATACGTTCTTACAGACAAAATTAAAGACTTTTTCCAAAAACAGATTGTAAAATGGATTCGGAAGCGACTTTTTCATGACGTCCAGACGAACACAAGTATGCATACATGTCTCTCGCATAACTCAAAAACGATTAGTCGTAGAATGGTGAATTTTTGTATATGAGACTGCTATAATATCTAGTTATTCACCTCTCTTTTTCATTGCAATTCGCAGAACAAAACATATGTATATATGGATTCAAAAGTAAGCATTTTGATTTTAAATTCTTTACTGAAGTATTTTGTTTTTCCACTTTAAACAGAATTCTCTTTTTGCAAGGTTTTTCTAATTGTTCTAATTAGAATTTATTTTTATTTCCTTGCTTTGGGGAAGGACCAGAATTTTCGGGGGAACTATTATAATTAAAATACATTGAAATGGTTCATCGGCTAATTCTGGATACAGAAAAGCAAGGATTTTTGTAGAAGAGAGAATTCAAATGATTTCAATGTGCCTTCCCCCTAATGAAGTAAAATTGAAGTTGATTGAATTCTTCTTCTGTTTTTGTTCTCTTTTCTTGTTCATTTTTTTTTTAATTTTCATTAATTTTTTAAATGGGGCTTTGCTTGTTTAAAGTGTTTTGGTTTTTAAAAAATTTCATTTTTGGTCTTTATGAAATATTAGTTCTAAATTTCTTACTTTATGTCTTTAATGATAATTTTTTCTACAGCTTAATGCGTGAAAATTCTAAGCATGTTTATATATGGTTTTCGAAAGAACTGTTTAGTAATTATATATATATATAAGCTAGGTTGTAAGTACAGTACTAAAAAGACCAATTTTGGTCAAAATCTTTTGCGCAATATGCTGCAAAATTAAGGAAATGGGAAGAGAAATAGTAGTTAGCTCGCCAAAAAGTTACCAGGAGCTGTTGCTCCAAGAAAAGTGTGTATATATATATATATACTTCTTACTCGGCTCCGTGAGCTCTGTTTTTTTTAATATTTTGGCAAATCTCGGATATTTTTTTTGAATTGTTCTCATATTCCGGTTAAGATTTTTATGCCTTTAATAATTCTGCAAGCAATAGTTGTAGAGTTATAAACAATTTAAAAGTTTGATTTTCAAAGTTTACGAGGCCGTCATTTTGTTTGCATCTCAAACTCTTAGCAGACTAGTATATTAACTCCATTGTCGCACCAACTTCAGTGTCTTTTTGCACGGTATGGGACCATGAGTTAACTCATGAGTTATTTTTTGTTCACTGAAAATTTTTCTTTTCTTTCCATTGGAGGAATTGCTTGTTTTGGCATAGAAATTCTAATTTTAATTTCAAAAATTGTTTTTTTTTAACTGCTTTTAACTCCATTTGACGTTTCACCTTTATTTTCTGTATTTTACAACTTGATGAAGATGTTTGGAGTTTTTAAATAATTTTGCCATGTCGCGTGAATTGAGAACTGAATCGTTTAAATGATAAATATATCTTTAGTGAAATTCCAAAAAATAAGTTTAAACGAATTACAGCAAAAAGTGTGTATATTTTAATATGCCGTATAAGGAAGCCATGCGGCCTCCACATCAAGTATTTTATAAGAGTTCAAAATTCAGTCAAAATATCTGATCAGCTTTCTAATCACTTTTCCACTTCTAATTCTTTGCTCAGCGTCCCTTGTTTCTGAGTCTCAAGTTGATATTTTAGATCTTGCTCTTGTAAAGAACTAGAATCATAACATTTTGTGGCTAGTTTCTGCGCAATAATTCCTTTTTCTGTTCCTTTCATATTCTTTTCAGATACTGAACTATTTTCTTTAGTGTTTCTAATGGTTAGTCTTAGCTAGGAGTTCCAGTGGTTAGTCTTAGCTATCCAGTGGGTTCTAACAAGGCTAACTAGATATCTACAGGCCTGCTCCAATCTGATGATCACATGATCTGACGTCATAATGTTAGGCTTTCAATTTTTGTAGGTTGAGCTTGCTTTGCAGTAGGACTAGTGCTAGTGAGATAATTGTTTACATGTGTTTTTTCTTCTGAAAAATTTTGTATTTTACCGGAAAGTAAAATATTATATTGTGAATTCGAATTTATAAGAAAAAGTGTGTTTAGAATGCCAAGAAAGTGTAGTGTACCTAAATGCCGATCAAATTACGATAGCACTACTGAACATGTGTCCACTTTCAAATTTCCTTCGGATCCTGTACTCTCTCAGAAATGGATAAAAAATATTAATCGCAAAGATTTTGTACCTGGCAAACACAGTGGTGTATGCATTAAGCATTTCGAAGAAGAATTTATCGTTCGAGAAGATAAAGCTGTTCGTGATGATGGGACGGTATTAGTAGTTCCTAGAACTATTCCAGCTTTAAAAAAAGATGCTTATTCAACGATTTTTCAAAACCAGCCATCTTATTTATCGAAGAAACTTCCAACAAAAAGAAAAACACCGGAAGAAAGAGAAGCAGAAATTGATATTCGTTGTGATAAACAATTTGAACAGTGGAAAAAGAATGATATTATTAGCCATTTTGAAAACCTAATAAATGGTTTTGCAAAAAAAATAGATCCTCCCTCTTCATGGATATTCATTACCAAAGGTAAGATCTTTTGGCTATCGAAATTAGAAATTAGAATTTTTAAACTGTCCAAAAGTGCTTGTATCTTTAAAAATATTGGAAGATTTAAATGTAAGAGTTTTTTTTCAATGAAAATGAAATTCCCATTGAAAAGTTCAAATGGATATTTGGAGAAGAAGAAAAGCTATGTGATAAATGGTCTAAACTTGAGACAATGATTAGCCATTTGGATGGTTTTTCTGCTTCTGATATTCATGATGACTGCAATTTAAATTTAGATAAAATATCAAAACTACTGTTGAAATGTGCAGAAACAGAAAATAACCCACATTCTGAGAAATTTAAGTTTTTGTATGAACAGATTCAATTAATGCAAATGAAAGAGCCTTCGTATAGTGCAGAATTCCTTGCCTGGTCTTGTTATATATTTTATTGTAATCCAAACAGCTACAATATTATACGTAACAGTAAGTATTTTATATTGCCTCATCTGTCCTACTTAAGGAAGTTATCTCTGAAAATTGGCCGAGCAGATTCTGGATTGCAAACAAGTCACTGGATGTATTTGAAAAAAAAAATGTGAAATTTTAAATGATTCTGAAAAAATTGTCAATTTATTATTAGATGAGATATATATAAAACCACAAGTTTCGTATAAAAGTGGTCGTGTTTTAGGTTTTTCGGATAATTCGCAGATGAAGGCCACAACTCTGCAAACATTTATGATAAGCTCTATATTATCAAAAAACAGAGCTATTGTAGCAATGTTTCCCGTAAAAACTTATGATCACATAAATTATTAATATTTACAAAACAAGTAATTGACCATGTACAGTCTTGTGGCTATCGAATTATAACTCTAATATCAGACAATAATAGAATTAACAGAAATATGTTCGAAATGCTTTGTGGTGGGGCATTAAAATCCTCATTTATAAACCCTACCATGCATATAATCTTCCTATATTTATATTATTTGATACAGTTCATTTATTGAAATCTATACGAAACAACTGGTTCAATCAGAAAGATTCAAACCAAACATTTTTTATACCGTCATTTGAAAACTCAAATATTGTTTATAATTCCAGTGTTCTACATTTAAAAAAATTGTATGAAATAGAAAAAAATGATAATATTAAAAATGGCTCCAACTTTATCAAGAAAAAGTTTTATTTCCGTCTTCTATGGAGAAGCAGAATGTAAGTACTGCTATTAAACTTTTTGATGATGAAAAGACTTTAGCTGCTCTGCAAATTGAATCACAGAATAATAGAACTGGGTATGGAAAAGATGTCTTAGGAACTAAACATTTTATTGATATAATTTTAAAGTGGTGGAAAATTGTGAATGTTAAACACTCTAAAAAGGCATTACAGTTTTGAGATGTATTTATGCAGCCTATAAGGACACCAGAAGATAAAAGCTTAGAATATTTATCACAGTTTTGTTCGTGGCTTATATCATGGAACGATTTTTGCCCAACAACAAAAAACTGTAATTCACAAATTGGGAAACTGTCAAAAGAAACCCAAGTTGCTCTTCTCCATACAACAGTACCATTGAATGAACTTTCAAAGTATTTGTTAAAAGAATTTAAATTACCTTTTATTCTTTTAGGAAATTTTCAGACAGATAACCTTGAGGGACGTTTCGGTCAATTTCGACAAATGAGTGGCTGTAATTATAATGTATCCTTACAGCAGATTATAGAGTCGGAAAAAAACTAAAATTAATTAGTTCGCTTAAAATGCAGTCTTCTGAGAAAGGTTCATTTATTTTACATTTTTCTTGTAATGATATTGAAGATTTTAAAGATTATCAACTTATTGATAAGGAATTTGTTGATGTTTTGCATCAATCCAATGATGTTAATGTAACAGAAAAAGATATAATGTGTCTAATTTACATTTCTGGATATGTTTGTAGATCTGTATTGAAGCATATAAATTGTAATCTTTTCAGGAAAAAATTAATTCTTGACAAAGAATTAATAGTTGAATATTGTGAAGATTTTGCATACTTAGCTGCTATTGATCGAGGTGGTTTATTTTGGCCAACAGAATTTGTGCTTTTCATTAATACCTCTGCATTTAAAATATTTTCAATCCTAATATCTGAAATGTATGAGAAATTATATATTTCATCAAAAAAATCAACTTTCTATATTAATAAGTCTCATCACAGAGAAAGTTGAAAACAGAATTATTTGGGATGATAGTATTTGTGAGTGTGGCAAATCATTGCTTGATTTGTTGAAAAGTTGTGCCACATGCATTTCCAATATATTGCTGAATAATTACTGTAAGGTTAAAAATAACAATTTAAAGGAAACCAATGACCAAAAACGAAAAATGAGTAAATTAAATAATTCTGGAATTTAGGTGAATTTTTTACGTAATTTTAAAGTTAAATAATTAGCATTTGCAAACTGCATAATTGAGCCATGGATATATATATGAAATTACCTGATCGCGAAAAAGTATATACCCTTTCCAAAGATGAACATTTCCATGTATAAAATAAATAAAATATCCAATAAAGAGAAAGATATGGCTTCAATTAGATAAGCTTTAAGATAAACAAATTGTAGATCATGATTTAAAAGTAATTTTTACCAAAATTAAAGCAGAAGAGAAGAAAGACGAGCGAGAACAATGAAAAAAAAAAGATTATGTAGTATGATGTATGAAATGATAGAAGAACTAAGTTGAATGGAGGCTCATGAAGTCTGGAAATTAGTTGAAAGATCCATCAATAAGAAAATTACGATGTTTACAAAAACTACAAATAAGATTTTTGATGTAAAAACTGCATATTTAAATGGATAAACTTGAATAAACCAATTTACATGGAACAACCACCTGGATTTAAATCAGATTCAGACTGCCAAGCATTAATAGATTGGATAAAAAAACCAAAACAAAGTAGTAGTTCAAGGCACATTAATCGAAATCCTTTGCCGTAAGCCAAAACAACTGGCTAAATCATGTTTATTTTTGTAGACCTCAAATAAGGGGCTACAATGATAAGCCTGTTTTGGCATACATATTTCAAAAATTTGAATGGCAAACTTCTTATTGATGTGAATTAATGATGTTTAACTTAATAATTAATATCTTATAACATTGTAAATATTTGCTGGATTTTTCATTGCTTAATACTGCATGCATCTTTTACTATTTGTCTATTATTAAATAAATTTACAGTGTATATTTAATCAGATGTTCTTTCATAAGAATTTTTTATAGCATGATATGGTGCTCATTGGGGTAGATTGCATAGTTATGATTATAAAATTCCCTGAATATTTTCAGGGAATTTTATAATATATTTTTGGATATGCTACAAGATTTCTCCGCTAATCTTTGGAATATGGTAACAGGTAGTTTGGCGACATTTTGGTAAGGCGATAAAGGTTACTACCTAGGACTTTAGCAGTGTACGTGGATAAAGTCAAGAGTGTGCGCAATGCCATTTTTGTGCAATCTGGGGTGTTTTTTTAAGTGAAAATAGGCCGACGTGTACATGGATACCGAGCATGTGCAATTCTTAAAAACGCGGCAAGCAGTGGGCGGTTCTGCACTTTCTCCCAATTTCGCACCTAAACTTCGTCATGATTAAGCACTTTTGTTCCATAAAAGTTCTAATATAAGCGTAATTAAATGTTGAGTAAAAAAAAAAGAAAAAACATGCCTTTACTTCGAGAAAACAAAAAAAAAAAGGCATCCAAAACAAAACTAGTAGGTTGCTGTAGCAGGGTTGATCGCCAAAGTTTCGCCAAAAAATCGCCAAGTTACCATAATTCAAAGATTAACCGATTTCTCGTATAATGTTTATGCTTTAAAACATCTTTAAAATAAAACTTTTTTTCTCATATACAGTCAAAAGTCGTTAATCCGGACTCGTCGGGACTTCGGCGATTCCGGATTATAGATCATCAGTTTAAATCTCAAAAGATGGCATACAGGAATTTTAAATTAAAAATATGAAACCTTAATTTATGAAATAAAGAACAGTTATAAACTAAAGGGTATCAAAATTTACAAAAAGCTTAATATTTATTTGTTTACTTTATTAAACATTTCTTTCAATGTGAGTTGTTTTAAGTTGCTTCGTTTTATGTGATAATACTTTCTCTTTAATTCTATAAACAGACACAATTTCTTGTTCAGTTACAAAGTTCCGCTGTTCAAGTCCCGTTAATTGTTGTGTCGAATACCGACTAACTTGTCAATCGAAATGTTTTCGTTTTCACTAACCTCTCTGTCACATTCTTCATGTTTTTATCCATTTTTTGCAGCAATTTCACTTTTTGTTTGATGGACATCGAAACATACTTTCGTTTTGTACGATCCTTTGGGAGCTCCAGAATCGGAAATTCTATTTGACATAATCGAAAGTTCAAGTTTACTTTTATAAAATTGCTCTTACAGTCTGCAAAAATAATAATCCGGATCCAATTCTAAGATTAAGGAACAACGCAATCATCAACATTAACTGAAATTGATAATTAGATAATTTTAGATTATGCCGTCCGTTATACATAAAACGTGCACACAAAAACGTATTCTGCGCTTGCGCACACGCATATGCATAGTGGTAAAAGGTCTTACGCGCACGCGTAAACTGCGCATGTGTCAACGCGGCGCATGCGCAGAAAGTTTTTAGCTTTGAGGTCCGGATTATAGATCATTCTGGATTATGGGTGTCCGAATTAACGACTTTTGACTGTATTTCACAAAATGTTCACTTGTACGTTTATAATTAAAAAGTACCGGTACTTACGTATTATCGCAACCAGGTCAAAATTCTCATAAATTGCGAAATTTGGCAACCCTACGTGTTATACGTAGTTTTGTAAAAAGAGCATGTGGAGATTCACAAAATTTTCCTGCATTTTCGTGCAAATTTTTGTAATTTATGAGAAAATAGCAGTGTACATGGATAAAGTGAAGAGTGTGCGCAATGCCATTTTTGTGCAATTCTCGGATGTTTTTTAAGCAAAAATAAGTCGACGTGTACATGGTTATGGCGAATACGGTTTTTAAACAGTGCTAAAAGCAATAGCCAAATGATTTCCGCCGAAAATAATTCTGCAACTTATTCAAATTCGAAACCGGAAGGGTTTAATTGCTATTTTATATTTTAAAAGAAAATAATATAAAAACTGTATTAAAAATTATCTGTAATTAATAAATGTACATTTTCTTTCTATTCATACTTTTTTTACTCAAACTTACAAATAGCGTCAAAACTTACGAGTAGCGTCAACCTGGTTGCGATAATACGTAAGTACCAAAGTACCTTAAGATATTAGATTGAATGTTGAAACGTCCTTATGAGAAAGAAAAAAATTGGCTTTTGCTTCAATAGGATTGCATGTAAAATTATAAATGTAAATCAAAATTTTATTAAAATTAATGTGTATGAATTTTGTTATGAAATATCACATATCTTTTTTATATTTAAGCAGTATAAATCAATCTAATTCATTTAAGCAATACAAATTAATGTAGTAGTATGTGGTGTACAAAGAGTTTAAATATTTTTAAAAGAAAAAAAAAGAAGAATGTCTAAATTAATTGAATACTAAGCATCTGTAAACTATATCCATGTTGGCATATAGAATGATATAGATGATATATTGTAATATCAGTGAGTCGTAGAAACTTATTCAAGTTTGAAGTTTATTTTTGTGGACATCACATCAGAGTCTACAATAATAATGTTCCATTATTAATATTTAAAAAATTCAAATGACAACTTATTGCAGATGTGAAATGATAATTTCAACTGGCTAATCAGTATCTTATACTATCGTAATGACTCTCAGGATTTTTCATTGCTTAATATTGTGATTTTTAATGAGATGTATTAAGAGTGTATTTTTAATCAGATTTTCTTTCATAACGAATTTTTTGGAGCATGATATGATGCTCATTGGGATTGATTGCATAGTTATGATCTTGCTTTTTTTAAGAGAATTTGAAATATATTTTTGAATATTCTGTGTAACTGTTTTTGCTGCTGTAAAACATCTTTAGAATGAACCTTTTTTTTCAATATGTAGACTAAACTTCAGATATACTTTTAATATAATAATGTATTAATAAGATTTATGTATTTCACTTAATGTCCGCATGTGTATTTATTATTAAAAAGCATCTAAGGATCTCTGATTGAATCTTGAAAAATCTTATAGGAATAGGAATGAAGAAAAGAAAGAGTTCATTTTGCTTCAATATCATTGCACCGAAAAATAATTATAAAGCAATATTTATTATATTAGAATTAATGAATTGATATTAATTTTATTATGAAATACTATATATGTTTGTTTAGTATTCAAGCAGTATAAATCAGTCTTCATAATTTAAGCAATATAAAATCATCTGAGAGCCTTAACATATTTTTTTTTTTTTTATTACAAAATGAAAACATCTCATGTTTAGTTCATTACATATGTTATATTTTCATTGATATTAACATACCGTATAATTTTTATAAATAATTTTGTGTCCATTTTATTTCTGTATAAAAGTTCAGATATGTTTCAGTTTATTTAAATCAGCTCTGCTATATTTACAATATCACTCGAATCTTATTTTTATTTTCTGTTTGATAAATCGGTAGATAAATAGTAGTAGAACGGTATTTAGTATTTAAATATCCATCATTACGATGTAACATAGTACGTTATTATTCCTAAAATTCGAAATATTAGTTGTAAAAATTAATTTAACTTGACTTGAGTTTGAAATAAAACGCTGCGTACTACATAAATGAATCAGTCGGCTGCGTCTACCGGGGAACGATCGCCTTCGATTGTGACGTCACAAATCAGTGTAGCATGCCTGTAGATATCTAGAGCTACTAGAGATACAGGCTGACTCGTCAGCCATTTTGAATCTAAGCTTTAGGGTTGCAATTTAGGTGTGGAGCGGCAACTTTGGCTCTTTAGCGCTGTCCGCTAAAATTTAACATTCTAGAGAATCCGAATTTCACCTTTTTTCTGCATCCATATAAAAACGTGTGGCTTTTTCCCCTTCTTTTGTCTGCAGTTCAGATTCTTTCTCGTATTTTTTTTTTTTTTTAAATTGCCAAATTTCTCGTATGATTCAAGTTATTTTAAAAGTTTCTAAAACATTTTCACATATCACATTTCAAATTTGTATTTTTAATTAAAAATACTTTCTTTTTGAATTCCTTTATTGAATTTTCAATTTTTTCTTTTAAATACACGCATAATGTTATTCATCTCAAAATGTATTTTTTGACAAGAGCTTTCCCTCAACCTCCATTAATTTAGGATAAGGTTTAATCTTTAATTCTTGTTTTTTATTTTTAATATGTTATTTGAATTTTGCTCACATGGAATCAAACGTCTATTACTGTAGCAAATTTGTTAAAAATGTTTATTTGTGTGTGTTTCCAGAAAAAGCTGCTAAACACTTTATGATTTTAAATACTGATTCAGGATATACACCTTTAAATTATAATGCTTTTAGAATGAAGTGCAGAATGCTATAAAAAATTACTTCAATGTTCAGATGACTGTGGTATTCATAGATTTAATAGAGTAAAAAATTCCATTAAATATTTTTTTGTTCTTTATTTAGCTAAAAACAATATTAAAATAATACACACACAAATAAATAAAAATAAAAATAATACCTTTACATACAGAATTTACAGATACTATTTACTTATAAGTTTATTTGTTGTTGATGGTTACTTTTTATTATACTTGGAAAAATTATACTTACATACATATGCTCTTAATATTACACGATCTGAATATTTAAATGATAATTCCATAACATAATAAGATTCAATCTATATCACAGCAAAGACAATACTTAAATCACAGTTCTTTTTATTAATTAATTTGCATAAGTAAAAACATAAAAATATTATTCAGCTTCAAATCCATAAAATAAGTCCTCTAGTAACAAACATATGACAAACACATATAGTGAAAATAAAGATAAATAAATAAAAATGTTTTGCTTTTTTTGTCTAATTTAGTGCAATTCAGTCTATTATATTCAAATTTTATTAAAACATACTGCAGTAATTGAATTTTTTCCATTATACATCAAACTGCTTTATAGAGAATGATATTATATTAGTTTTACTTTCAAAACTAATATAATATAATTAATTTTCCTTTATATGCGGAGATGTTTGAATAAATGCAAAAAAACCATCTGAATAAATCTTAGCCAACACCATTCAGATAGTATTCTTGTTTTCAAGGTATATCATTTTTATTTTGTTCTTTTCCCATTAAAGGAGCTAACCTAAGAGACTTATTTCATTTACATATATCTCATTGATATTATAAATATAGCTTAAACATGTTTTATGTGCATACTCAAAGGGGGGTGGGAAGTAAGCCTTGATTCAAAATCTGTTTTAAAGCAATAAGTAAATAAATAAAATACACTGGTTCTATTAGAATGTCAAAAAATACTGTTATGTATTCTATAAACAAATACACATCATACTACATAACCCTGGTACAAAAGAAGAAATGTCTGATTAGGAACATACTTTATTTATTTGGTAGAAGAGTAAAACATATGCAACATCTCATTATGAAAAATCCTGCAAGCCATTACAATACTATAAGACATTGATTAGTAAGGTAAACATCAGTTGATCATTTTTTCACAACAGCAATAAATGTTTCATTCAAAATTCCTAATAACATGCCAAAACAGATTCACAATTGATGCCTCATTTAAGGTCACACAAAAGTAAATCTGATTTAGCTGACTATGAGATCTTCTATTGTAGAGGACTTTCTAAGGAGAACTGGCCTTGTATTCACATTACACATGGGGAAAAACCACAAAAAAAAAACCAACCATGCAGCCAGCCTGTTGGGAAATAGAACAGAAGATGGAACTCCCAGCATTCAGTAACTTTAACCATTCAGCTGTTGGTGGGCCTAATTATTATTCGAAGAGACAAGCAGCAATTTTTCAGTGACAACTACTCTACTTTTTTACAGACAGAACTGAACAGTAAAAACTTCTTAAACTCTTGAATGCTAAATGTTGTTGCAAACACACCTGAGATGTACTGTAATGACACATTTGCAACCACTGGTGAAATGAAATAAAGTGCATGATTATGAAGATGGAAACATTTAAAATACTTCAGTAGCAAAATTTATTTCTCCAAAATATGAAGCTGAAGGTTGTGGCAAATGAACCTAAAAGAAATTATAATATATGAAATATGTGGAAGTGAAAGAAATTATAAACTCTGATCGGATAAAAATAAATACAAATAATCATTACCATTTTAAAAGTAACTTTCAACTTATAAAAAAGCATAAATACATTGGACTGTTCATAGCATTCATACTTCTTAAACATAAGTAAATATTATGTTAATATATTTTTAAATTTAGAAACAGTGTTAATACTTTTAGAAAAAGTTTATAATACTAAAATATTTAATAACTGTTCAAATGAAGACTTACAACAGATGGTTCAGCAACAGAAATCGCTTCAGTTGATAAAGGTAAACTGTGCAGCAAGCCACCCTGAAGATGCAAAAATTATGAAACACATATAAGTAACGATACCTGAAAATGCTGATAAATAAAATATACTTAATGTAATTTTAATAATAAATAATATAAATAATCCTAATAAGTTTTGTAAATCTTTACATTCAGACAAGACATATAAGACATTAAAATATACATTTAAATCAATGTATTATAACTATATTATTGTATTACTCAAGATTAAAGTTATTAATTTCAATATTATTTCTTTTACTTACTCCATACATATTTCCCTCTATTTATCTGGAATTTAAAATTAAGCAAAAAAGCAACTTTAGTTTAATACAAATTTTGATTTAAACTCTTTTGACTTTGAAGGCAATCAGATACAGGTTTCTTTCTTTTAGGAGCAAATTTCAAAAAACCAGACCCATGTATGACTGTCCTCGAAAAACTACAAAAACTTTATCCAAAAACTACATCAAATTGAGGTTTTATGCCTAATTTTCAATATATCATTATAATAACAAAGTACATACTTAATTATATATATAACAACAGCAAAATTTTAATTTTTTTAATCTAATCTTAGGGACTGTAATTACAGCTTTATCACATAATGCCTTAATTTCAATATTTTGATTCTTTTATAAAGCAATTTAGTCCATTTGTAATAAAAACATATTTTTTTTATGAAAAACCATAAAAATAAAATCACATACATTACAAAAATTGGATGTAACTGAACGGTGCTTTGGTAAACCAATGCCTTTTAGACGCTGTGGGGTCAACAGTTGTGGGGGATTAGGCACATTGAAAAGAGTTGGCACAGCATTGGGCTTGAGTTTTTTACGCCCATCTTGCCTAGAGCATTCAGATTGATTTTCTTCAAAATGTACCTCATATTTAACAAAAGCATGCATGAAATTTAACATTAAAATCAAAAGCACTAGTATTTAATTACAGTTACATATATTATATTAATTTAAGAATGTAATTTTCTGATAAATTTTAATTTTTTTTGTGAAAATAGAACAAAATTTTTAAAAAGTAATCATGTTTGTAAAACTACTTAAAACATATTTCCTGCTCACACACTAAAAATAAATTTAAAGTACCTATAGTTAAAAATATAACATTAAGATTTACTACTACAATAAAGGATAATAATTAATATTTCTTAAAAATGTCTAAAAATACAGAATATATTTATCTTACTATAAAGAAAAAACAAAATCATTTATTATTTGGATCATACCATCCAGTTTTTAACATTGGCGCCAACTATCCGATTTGGCGACAATACATCAGAATCAAAACATAGAATGCTACTTTAAATCACCAATCGTACAGTAAAATTAAAGAAAAAGGCACATCACATTTTTAACTCAGCACAAAGTTTGTATGAAATGTATGATACAAATTTTACAAACGGTATAAACTTTTCACGATAACAAAAGAAACAACATGAAACAACGATATTTTACTGCACAAACACATACACATTCCGCAGTTGATTTTGTACTTATAAAATCAGTTGATCGTCAATAAGTGACAGTTAAATGAAAATAAATATTTTAAAGTACCTAGAAGAGTAATTTTTCTAACATTCTATGGAAAAATACGAAGCTGAACTTACCTCACAAAGATACGCTCCTGGGCCCGGGATCCATTGATCTCGACGAGAATTAACTATCCATTTTCTTCGTCTTTCTTCATTTCTCGGGAAACGAAACATCCTAAAGTTATTTTTAGACTGATTCGAACAATTTGGTGCAGCACAACCACCCATATTTCTGAAAATTAGGTCCGAATCGATCCACAAATATGTCAAGAAATCAGTGCTAATCCAATAGCGAATACCAACAAGTTAGCTTCAAAATGGATGATGATTCAGCTCCCCTTTATAGTAGCCTTATAGATATCTAGTTGATTAAGACACAGTAACACGCCGAATAAATACTAATTCAGAAGTCAAACAACAAAAATCAGCGTTATATCCACAAAATTTTCACAGGACTAGTTTCGATGGTTTTACCGAACCACCATCTTCAGCTGCAAAACCGCAAATGAACCAGATAGGAAATAATGATTAGATAAGATAAGAAAGCCTGAACAAGAATGAGCAAGTGGCGCCATCTGTTGGTGAAACCAGAACTAAAACATAATTTCTTTAAAGGCCGAGGGCAAATTTCGATTGGAATTAGGATCGTTAACTAGAACAGAAAGATTTTTATGAATGTGAAATGCCTCTAGAAAATCCAATTCTCCAATGGAAGATGTTTTTGAATAATTTTGGCAGCAGAAAAACTGAAAGTGTGGTTTTCGGACCAACAATGTTGAGCAACAGAAGACTTCTGTGTTTCCTTTTTTCTAACATATGCCTCATGTTCCTTGACGCGAAATTTTAAGGCTCTCTTAGTTTGGCCAATGTAAATTAAACCACACTGGCAAGGAATCCTATAAATACCCCAGGAATTCATATCCGGAATGGGGTCCTTGAGTATGGAACTCGGAATTTTATTGATGGGAGAATAAACAACCCGAAAGTTAAATTTCTGCAAAATATGTGCAACTTTATAGCTAATCTCCCATCAATAAAATTCCGAGTTCCATACTCAAGGACCCCATTCCGGATATGAATTCCTGGGGTATTTATAGGATTCTTTGCCAGTGTGGTTTAATTTACATTGGCCAAACTAAGAGAGCCTTAAAATTTCGCGTCAAGGAACATGAGGCATATGTTAGAAAAAAGGAAACACAGAAGTCTTCTGTTGCTCAACATTGTTGGTCCGAAAACCACACTTTCAGTTTTTCTGCTGCCAAAATTATTCAAAAAACATCTTCCATTGGAGAACTGGATTTTCTAGAGGCATTTCACATTCATAAAAATCTTTCTGTTCTAGTTAACGATCCTAATTCCAATCCAAATTTGCCTTCGGCCTTTAAAGAAATTATGTTTTAGTTCTGGTTTCACCAACAGATGGCGCCACTTGCTTATTCTTGTCCAGGCTTTCTTATCTAATCATTTTTTCCTATCTGGTTCATTTGCGGTTTTGCAGCTGCAGATGGTGGTTCGGTAAAACCACCGAAACTAGTCCTGTGAAAATTTTGTGGATATAACGCTGATTTTTGTTGTTTGACTTCTGAATTAATATCTAGTTGGCCTTGGTTCTAAAGTGAGTTTCTATTCTACCCGTCCCTTTTTATCCAACTATTGCTTAAATTTTACCACACTTTATACTCATGACAGCTCACAACTTCTTCGAGAAGATGAAGCATAGTCAGTATAACGCAATTAAAACAAATGTTGGATTATGATCCAACAATTGAATATACTGTCAAACGCCCAAGGACAATTCATCACAATTCGTTATGGTGGTAACTTGTAAAATTTAATTTTAAAATTTACTTGAACTCTAATTGGACTCTATCCTTTTATTTGTGTTGCATCTTATACTAATGTTAATCAAGAAAATTTTTTATTCAAGATTTATGTTACTATTTCATTTTTTAAAATTATTTTGTATGAATTTTTACTTTATCGTATGATTCTACGAACTTTTGAACTTTTTACGGCCTATCTAACTACTGCATACTTCTGAAGTACTTTGAACTCTTATGCCATTCACAGCTTCAAACTGTCTTCGCGCCATTTTCATGATGTCTCACTATTGCTTATCCTGCACTCTTACTAGCTATATAGAGCTCACCACCTGCATTTGCCATACAACTCACTGAACCTGCCTACATGCTTCAATTTAATGCCATTGCTTACCACTGCACAATTTTTGTGATAAACGCCTACTTTCGTAAGTATTAAGATATGCCTGCTCACGCAGCTGAATTTTCTTCGCCCACGGGTGTTGGTACTTCCCTAGTACCATTTATTTGAAAATATCTTTGCCTAGTGCACTTTAATGCGATCTACTGGCAAAAACTCTTTAGTAGTTAATGACCAGAAAAAAGTAATTCATAAGTCATAAAATTTTACCACCGGGCTAAAAGACTTGTAAAGAGAATTATATATTTGAGGCTAATGTGTGTTTTGATGTGTTTGTTATGATCAGACGTTCTGTGCTGGGTAATTTGAATATATTTTGTTATTTTAAAATTTTCTGAAGATTTTCGTGAGATATATTGGGTAATATACATACATTGTTAGTAGTTAATTTTACAGAAATATCTACAACGTTTTCTCCTTTTACTGTTTAAGTACGACCTCATTTTGTAACTGTATAATTACAAATCGTGATATTTATAGTGTGAATCTGTTCGTAAATTCGTCCGAATTGCATCAGAACCATTTCTTAAATGAAATTCAGTATTCTATTTCTACGTTTGAATTGTAATGTCCGATTTGGGATAAACTGTACATGAGAAAGTGATTACTTTTTACCTAAATAACTGTGATACGCGCTTTCGTTCCTGTCTACTAAAATCATAGTAAATTTGAATTTCAGAAAGCAGTGCCTCTTTTTACTCTGTATCACTTGAAGAACATCAGTAAAACGGCAGTTTTCAGATGGCCGGCCATCAGTCGACGAAAAAGGTCGAAGGTCCAAATCAGTGAACTGAAGAATCTAGTATAAGTAAAAACCGTTAAGGATGGAGAATGTCGGATGGATATTTGTGCTTTTCTCCGAGAAATGGAGAACATCTAAGAGAGTTGATGCAGTTGTTAAGATGAGTGAGAACTGAATATTAGAAATTTGTATTTTTTTAAATTTTGTATCTAGTAAAATAATTCTTTATATATTTATATGTTGTTAAAAAGTATGTAGAAACTGAATTCTCTCAGATTATATAACTTTACGGTATTTAATTTCTTTGTTTATTTTTTTCTCAAAGTTTTTTGTGATTTGTTACTACCAAGAAGCTGTTTGAAAAGGAGTCGCACCGAATTGATCAGAATGAGTTCCGAATGTGCTGGAGATTCTGTAAAAAGAAAAGTAGATGAGATTTCTGACTGTTCTGAGTCTGTGTCAAAGAAACCACTTATATCAGATGAGGTATTTTTAAGTTCTTTTTTTTTTTAATCTTATTTAGATATTTAATAATTCTTGCAACTCTGTAGAATAAGGAGCAAAAATCATTAATTCAAAAATCTTCCCTAATCTAAATCTTCCTTAGTCTCGTGGAGACTAGAAAAAAAAAAAAAAAGAATATTATCCTCTGTCTTGCTCTAAAATATTGTATGTAGTTTTATTTTAGAATACAGTACAAAGTCCCTAATCCGGACTCGTCGGGACTTCGGCGATTCAGGATTAGGGGTTCTTCCGGATTGTAGATCATCAATTTAAATCTGGTAAGATGACATGCAGAAATTATACAATTTAAAAATATGAAACCGTAATTAATATGAAATAAAGAGTATGATCTAAAGGGTATCAAAATTTACAAAAAAAAAAAAAAAAAAAAGAAAAAAAAAAAAAGCTTAATATTATGGGAAGGATTGATAATAAGCATAACTACAACTCATGAAGTTAAACTAAGATTTATTTATTTACATTAGAATGAAAAGAAAAGTAAAAAGAATAATCGTCAAAACACTTTGGACACGTCTGGCCTCATTATTGTTCACGTTTCATCTCATCTGACTGCACCCTAATCTAGATGGCGCTCTTACATAATCTTAGTTACAGTTACAGTTCCCATAATATTTATTTGTTTACTTTATTAAACATTTCTTTCAATGCAAGTTGTTTAAGTTGCTTTGTTTTTTGTGCTAATACTTCTCTTTAATTCTATAAACAGACATAATTTCTTGTTCAGTTACAATGTTCCACTGTTCAAGTCCTTTAATTGCTGTGTTGAGAATACCGACTAACTTGTCAATCAAAATTCTTTCATTTTCAATAATTCGTTCTCTGTCACTTTCTTCACTATCGGCAGTGCGCATGTGTAAACGCTTTACTATGCGCATGCGTAGCTGACGCGCGCATCAAACGTGCATGCGTAAATACTGTACATGCATGCGTAAGTTTGTGGCTTTGAGGTCTGGATTACAGATCATTCCAGATAATCGACTTCCGGATTACGGACTTTGTACTGTATTTTGTTTTTGTTTCTATGTATTATCACTTTATATTGTCATTATATATTTTCTAGCAATTCTGTTCCATTATATTCTAATTTTTCAGTTAAAAAATCTCAAAACATGTCTCCGATCTTTATACTGTAGTTACTCACCTAATATTCCCCTATTTAAAAAAATAAAAATAAAAATAAAATTGATGTTTTGTCCAATAATGTTTGCATATTTGTTTTGAATAGATTTTTGCAGCAACTCAACAAAGTATGCATTCCACAAATGCTCTGTATGGAATAATTTTATATATTTCTGAATGCATGTTTATAGTATAGTTTCTGAATATGATCCTCAATTCACATACAGATTATTCCAGGCTTAGACTGTCTTTTGTTGGCCAGCATACTCATTTGCTTTATGAAATTTTACAAATGAATCTTTAATTTGTCAGATTAAGCTACATAGTATTTCTAATCATCTTTTAATTTATGAAACATTCAGAAGCCAAGATGGTTGAGGATGAACATGATAACCAGGTATGTTGTTGGTATACAGAAAATCCTGATGCTGATATTGCCTTTCATTTTGATTTTGCCATTATCTATGGCAATATTGGAGTTAGATTTTAATAACGTAGGCATGTGACACTGTACTTGATTATTTCCATCTTCCTTGGTGAGCGCAAACACATTACACATTTCCTTCACTTCACAGAAGTAAACCACGCATAAAAGACTTTCATAAACAAAAATGGCATTAAAAAAAAGGTACTTTTCTGTTATTGGGACTGAATTCAGAAATGTGAGTATGGATGGATGTGTTCATTGTATGCATGTATATATGTATATACAAATGTATACATAAGTGAAGTGTCTCGTATGAAATGTAGAAAAATAACACTTCTCTGTCTCCAATAGAACCAATATTTTATTCCAAGTTATAGATTATTCATGAAATTTATTTACTACATTTTACATGCACGTTGAATCACGTGATAGAAAACCGAACTTTGTTTACTTCGTTTTTCGCGGAGACTAGAAAGTGTTGCCATTCTGCTTTAAATAAACTTAATTAGAAACTTTACGGAACTGAAGCGACACTACACACCCCGTTCCTAGTGACAGCGATTATGGAAGATAGTCTTAAAAGTGACTGGGGAATTTCACATGTGTGCCACTTCTAGTAGTCTTTGTTTCATGATGAGTTTCTGAATTTTCTTCAGTGTTCTTGAGTGCAGGTGTTTCCCCAAGTTCCACTTTCTTGGAATGGGAGTTTTGAAAAGGAATATCAGAACCTTGCACTAGGAAACACGGCTTTAGTCTGCCTATTGAAACTCTTTATACTTTTCTATGGATTTCAATATCGAAATACTTATTATTTCTTGCTCTTACAGGATATGGTCCAAGGTAGACAGGCTGTAGTGAAGAATTATTAATGTTGTTGTATAGGAATACGTGAGAACAGTTGGAAAGTTGTTTGGAAACAAAGACTGTTGGTACTTTTCCGTTTTGCCGGCGCAAGCGATAAAGTCGCCAATAATGGTACAACCGATGCCAAACGGAATGTTCTCGCTGGTAACCTTTTACGCCTCATTTTCAAAACAAGTCGCAGCTTTTTCTTATCAGATTGATTGTTTCTTTCAATACTGGCATATCATTACACAGAATTTTTATCAGATAGTTCAGTTTTATGTCTAAGGCAATTTTCGGTAATTAATTGAGTCAATTAGGATGCAATCACAGCGCTTACCCGAAGCCAAAAAATATAGAAAAGGTAAATGTCAAGGGTTAAATTCATCAATTCTAATGAGAATGCATTAGCGAAGTAAAGCACTGCAGTTTTACATAATTTTGAGTAAGTTATTCGTACGAAATTGAAATATTTGTTGCATTTAGACTTGTGTTCCAAATTAAGATTTAACATGAAATTAATGTAGATAATTACTGAGAGCATTAGATTTTTGTAGAGTAGTTTACGTGACATGAGATCGCTTGGGGTCACGTGATATGAACCGGCGAATCAGGATGTTGAACCATGAAAGCATAGTAAATTCTTAAATTAATGTCTTTTTACAAATTTGTTGTCTTTATTTATTGGCTTTCTATAAAATTTTAAGCGATATTAAAATGTTTATGCCTTCTTTTTTAAAAAGAATTCTTAGAACTAACATATTTTTAAAGATGTTTTATGTGTATACTGTATGTTGTCGCCAATAAAGTCTGCTTGGCGAGATTTGCGCCGGCGAAACGGAAAAGTACCAGACTGTTCTATTTCCATGGGTAGTGGTAGAACTTGGCTTCATATTTTGTATTATTTTCTGAAGGTTTTGAGAAAATTCAGACTGTACTGTTGAAAAGAATTCTCCTGGTGAAGCTAAAGGTGTTCCGTATACAAGTTCTGCAGATGAGCAACCTAAGTCTTCCTTGAAGGCAGATCTTATGCCTAAAAGAATGAAAGGCAATGCTTCCAACCATTGCTTTAAAAGTTCGGTGTTGTCTTTCGATCAGGCCATTTGCATGTGGATGGTACGCAGTTGTAGTGTTTGTATGAAAACCAAGATATTTTCCTAAAGCTTGAAAAAGTTGGCTATCAAATTGCTGACCTTGGTGAGATGTTATGCGATTTGGAATTCCAAAGCATGAAAACCAAGTATAAATCATAGCTTTAGCAATAGATTCTGCTGATTGATCTTCTAATGGTACCGCTTCGATCCATCGTGTATAACGATCGATGATGGTTAGAAGGTATTTGAATCCTTTGCAAGGAGTTAGCGGACCCACCAGATCTATGTTTAAATACTGGAACCTGTGTGGAGGTACTTTGAATTCTCCCAAAGATGACTGTGTATGTCTGTGAACTTTAGATCTTTGCCAAGATAAACATGCTCTAGTCCATAGTTGGCAGTCTTTATTCATATTGGGCCATATAAAACGTCGTGTTATCAATTTTATCGTGGATCTTACTCTAGGATGAGATAAATTATGGATTAAAGAAAATATTTTCTGCCGAAACTTTGCAGGGATGTATGGTTGATTATAATTTCTAGAAGTATCACAGTAAATTTTCTTGTTGCTGTCTGGTATAGGGATCTGTAGGATTTTTAAGTTTGGGTTATTTTTAAGTATTTTCAAACCTTCATCTTCTACTATAGTTTGTAAGTCCATTGCAGATGGTACAGAAATGGTGTCTATGCAAGAGAGAGCGTCAGCTATGGTATTTTCATCCCCTTGTATGAATCGGATATCGGTTGAGAACTCGCCAATATATGACAGTTGCCTAGCTTGTTGTGGTAAAGCTTTTTCCAAATTTTGTTGGAAGACAAGTGTTAGTGGTTTGTAATCTGTGTATATTGTAAAAGGTCGCCCTCCTAAGATGTATTTGAAATGTTTCACTGCTGCATAGATGGCTAAGAGTTCTCTGTCGTAGGCACTATATTTTTGTTGTGCTGGTGTCAAATTTCGGGAAAAGAAACTTAAGGGTTGTTTTTCATTGTTCACAGTCTGATGTAAAATGGCTCCAATGGCAGTATCAGAAGCATCAGTTGTTAGCAATATTTCAGCCTTTTCAGATGGGTGAGTTAACTTTGTGACATGAATAAGAGCATGTTTTAAAGTCTGGAAGGCATTTCTTGTTTCTGCAGTTGTTTTTTATACCACTGAGCAATGTTGTTAAAGGTTGTTGCAGTTTCACACAATTTGGTATGAATCTGTGATAAAAATTCACCATACCTAAAAATCGTTTAAAACTAGTAAATGAATTAGGTTCTGGGAAATTTTTTATGGCATCAACTATTGTTGAAAGAGGTTTAAGTCCCTCAACTGACACTTTTCGTATCCCAGGAATGCAAGTTTTGTTTAACTGCATTTACACTTTGCCGCATTAATACGCAGGCCATATTCATTTAGTCTCTCGAGGACTGCTCGTATATGTTGTCGATGAGATTCTTCATGAGGAGAGGCTATTAAAATGTCATCCAAATAG